GTTCCATGTGACTCTCACAAAATCCCCCAAATTCCAGATCATTTTTTGAATGTAGGGGAAAAAAGGCTTTAAAACATATTTTTACTAATTTTGCCCAAAATTTTTTACCAGGTGGTGATATTAAAAAAGGGTTTTAAAACTATGAAAGGGGAAAAAGATTTCCCGAGTTACGAAAAATGAATCATGAAGAAATTTTTAAAGCAGGGAAAAATTCCCTTTGGGGTTTTTAAACAGGAAAAAAAAATGACTGTGGTAACACATTTAAATTTTCAAAATAATGCTGGTAAAACCCCTAGGGGAAAGGGTTTCCCAAATAACTGTAGCGGGGAGTCTCTAGGAGTTTAATGGTCAGAGAACCGACATTTTTATAAATTAGACAATGTGCAACTCTTGGGTTTTCCCCTTTTTTGAGGGAAAAGTTTCGCCCCCACAGTGGGGTTTTATAAATCCATACGAAAAAAGGAGGAAAAATTTAAAAAAAGGAGGGAAGGGGAAAGAGGTAATTTAGTCCTCAACCTTGAGTCGATGTGTTCAGTCATCAAGCTTGAATAGAAGAGGGCTTCCTTGTTTGCAATGACTTTTTCCTCTAGGCCTTTTATGTTTAAGGGCATCCATCATTCGTAGAGGGAATTTGCAGAACCTTGTTTAAAAAAGCGCAATTTAAAATTTTGCCTGCTCCAGCTAAATATTTTTTGATAAGTTTAAAAATAATTAATAAAAAACAAACGCAAAGAAATGTATTTTTTTTTCGTTGGTTCCAAAGATTTTGCGAAATTATTGCTAAAAATTTTCGTTGCCTTATTGGGAAAAAAAAGCGTTGCATTTTAGACAAAATCGCAAGTTTTACCTATTCGGCAAAAGATTTTAAATACAAAACACACAAAAATCACAAGGCAATAAATATATAACATGTATATATATTTATATTAGTGTTGTAAAAGAAGAAAATTAAAAGTGAATACGGGAAGGAGAAATTTTATGAGGAAACAAAAAGTTAGGTGAGAAAGACGGATATCAGATTGGGGGGAAAAAGGTAGGGGAGGTGAATGTTTTCGAATTTGGGAGGGGTTCAGGGGAGGGGTCAAAAAAGATGGGGTAAATCATAGAATTGATGAGGGGAAAGGTGGCGGGGCACTTGGGTCTGTGAGACAAAGAAATTTTTTCCTTGGAGGCAAAAAAGGGGAATGTATGAGATATAGTTTTCCAAACCTTTCCGTATGGGTGTGAAATGGGGAGAATGTTGCAGGGGAGAAGGCGGGGGCAGTGGGGGTTTTATGTCTGAGGGCAATGTGGGGTGAATAAAGCAGAGAATTCGAAGTTTGGAAGTTAGGAGGGGGTGCGAGATTTCCAAAACTGTTTTCCAGAGGGTGAGGAAGGTTGTTGGGTGGTTCGGGCATGTAAGAAATTGGAGGAAAAAAGTATTCAGAGTGTATCAGTCTTATGGGAAAGGGAAAGGGGGGTGGGGTCGGCTAGAAAGGTTGGGGGGGGGGGGGGAAGGAGGTTTTTTTTGGCGAGGGGGTTGGGGCTTTTCCCGCGGCATGCGTGAGGTGTTTGATAGGGGTTTAATGGAGACAAATGGTTTTTAAAATGGGGGCTGTTGATGTGCAAAGTAACATTTATGAAGGGGTTTGGGAAACCGGCAGGGCCC